CTGCTGCCGCCACCACCACCACCACCCCCGCCACTAGCCCCGCCGCCACCCCCACTCCCTCCGCCGCCACCGCCGCCACCGCCACCGCCCCCTCCAGCTCCACCCGCGCCCTTGCCCCCCTTGCCCTTGCTGGAGCGACGTCTCCCACTAGGGGCAGACGTCGCGCCGACCGACTCAAGACCAAGCAGGTCGGCAGCAGCAGCAGAGGCAACAGAGGGCAGCAAGGGGGAAGGAGAGCACCCCTCAAAGATGGGGGTGCGAGGGTCACCACGAGAAGCACCTACAGCGACTATGCTCTTCTCCGCTGCAAGGAGGGCCTTCTCGAGGAGGTCGACGGTGAGAGTGGTGGGACAGACTGCGAGAAAGTGGTCCCTGACGACGCGAAGGGAGTCAGGGAGGCGTGCGACTACGTAGTAGAGAGCGATGTACATGGGGGGGGGGTTCTTAGCGCAGAACTCAGCAGGAAGGGCGGCGCGGTAGCGAGTGTCACTAGTGCGGAGGTGCGTAATGAGGTCAGCGACAGTGGGAAAGGCAGAGAGGTCAGGAAAGAGGTAGGGAAGCATGAGACGGCTCAGTGCAGCAGTGGCAGGGGAGGAGTAGCGCGCAACTACAGCGTCGTACAAGGTCTGAGCACTCTTGTACTGACTAAAGTGCGCACGCTCAGAGGTAGGGAGGTGGCGACGCACAGCAAGACGTGCAGCAGCATCGCGGGTGGCCCACTTAGAGCGGACAGCGGGATCAGCATCAGCAGCAGGGGCAGGAGAGGCGCCAGAGGTGAGGTCAAAGAGAGAAAGGTCGTCAGCCCTGTCGCACTGTAAGAACAGCTGCAGGTCGTCTAACCAGACCTCAAAATCAATGGCGCGACCCTCAGCGTCAAAAGCTAGGACACTAGGGGTAGCCATGGTGACGACAGCGACGCAGTGCAAGCAGTAGGGAAAGAGCTCGCAGTGTCAGTGGGACAGTGCTCACCAGGCAGGGCAGGTCGTGCAGTCAGCAGAAAGGCGGCTCAGCGACCGGGCGGCTCGGGTGCACAGCTGCTCGGCTCCCGGGCGGCTCGGCGGCTGGGCGGCTCGGGCGCAGGGCGGCTCGGCTCCCGGGCGGCTCGGCGGCTGGGCAGCTCGGGTGCAGGGCGGCTCGGCTCCCGGGCGGCTCGGCGGCTGGGCGGCTCGGGTGCAGGGCGGCTCGGCTCCCGGGCGGCTCGGCGGCAGGGCGGCTCGGGTCCCGGGCGGCTCGGCTGCTGGGGCGGCTCGGCCGGGAGATGCAGCGTCGGGCCGGCAGGTGCAGCGTCGGGCCGGCAGGTGCAGCGGCGGGCCGGCAGGTGCAAGTGGCGGGCCGTAAGAGGCGGCGGGCCGATGGGTGCAGCGGCGGGCCGGTAGGTGCAGCGGCGGGCCGGTAGGAGCAGCGGCGGGCCGGCAGGGTGCAGCGGCGGGCCGGCAGGAGCAGCGACGGGCCGGCAGGGTGCAGCGGCGGGCCGTAGAGTGCAGCGGCGGGGCCGTCGGCAGCAGAGGCGGGGCCGCGTCAGAGGAGGCGGCGTGGCCGCGTCAGGGGAGGCGGCGGGGCCGCGTCAATGGAGGCGGCGGGGCCGCGTCAGGGGAGGCGGCGGAGTCGCGTCAGGGGAGGCGGCGGGGCCTCGTCAGGGGAGGCGGCGGGGCCGCGTCAGGGGAGGCGGCGGGGCCGCGTCAAGGGAGGCGGCGGGGCCGCGTCAAGGGAGGCGGCAGGGCCGCGTCAGGGGAGGCGGCGGGGCCGCGTCAGGGGAGGCGGCGAGGCCGCGTCAAGGGAGGCGGCGGGGCCGCGTCAAGGGAGGCGGCGGGGCCGCGTTAAAAGAGGCGGCGGGGCCGCGTCAAGGGAGGCGGCTGGGCCGCGTCAGGGGAGGCGGCAAAGCCGCGTCAGAGGAGGCGGCGGGGCCGCGAGTGAAAAGGCGACCCGAGGGGTCGCTAAAAAAAAAGGGCGCGCCTCGGGGCGCGCGTCGGTGGGCCCAGACAACGGTCCTAAGGTAGGACCCGCTCTATACCATGTGAAAATAGGAAAACAGGAATGAATGAACTATGAATGAAAGCAGTACAAATATGAAACCCTAACTGGGTTGTACCCCCTATGGGATACCCCACTACAGCCTACACAGCAGTATAAGCTATAGATATGTTCTGACACGTGCAAGCGCGATTGCACTAACGGGAAGAAGGTCGTGATGACAGACTGGAGACTACGGGTAGCTAGGCACAACAAGAAACGACGAGTGTATTGGAGTCGTTGTGACTAGCCAGGGGGAAGAAAGCGGACTAGATTCGGCTCGCGCACCAAGCGCCGAGCAACACTCGCTCGCCACATTTAGCTGCTCGCGTTCTGTGCGACGCGGGGCCCGCATTCCTCGCGACGCGGAGCCCGCATTCCTCGCGACGCGGATCTCGCATTTCAGGCGGATCTGATCCCGCCCTCCAGTCGACGCGGAGCCCGCGTTCCCGGCGACACGGAGTCCGCATTCTAAACCCACCTATTCAGTCCCAAGGCAGCAGCACCTCTGGATGCCCAAGGCGAATATCAGGCGAGCTTTCAAACCCGCGCGAGGCTTGCTCGGCATCACGCAGAACCACCACGACGCCCACCACGACAATCGACCCCCCCAAAGGTATTTGACAAACGCCCATCGCCCACCATGCTATAACTTGGCCTGCTCAGCTCTCCCATTCCCTACCATGCACTGTTTGGTCTCGCCTCGATCTTGTCTACTCCACCTCGGCATGCCACTCCCCATCTTCCCTGTCCTGCCCCGCACCTCCTTTCCCTGCTCCAACTAAACATGCCATGCTATTCCAGGAGATGCCCTGCCCTGCCCTGCCCTGTCATGCCCTACCCTGCACTGCCCTCCCCTGCCCTGCCCTGCCCTGCCCTGTCCTGCCCTGAGCTGCCCTGCCCTGCCCTGCCATGTCCTGCCCTGCAATGCCCTGTCCCGCCCCGCCCCGCCCTTGTCAGCACCCTCATTTTTCTGCGATGCCATGACTAGAGGGGCCATGCCTGCCCTGCTTTCTCATGGCCCGCCCTGCCCTTGTCTGCACCATCCGCGTCATGCCATGCCTCTCCCATGCCATGCCATGCCCTGCCCTGCCCTCCCCTGTCATGCTCCGCTCCGCCCTTCTCCCTCCCCCCCTCCAGGCATGCCCTGCCATGCTCTGCGGATGAGATTATTCATTGCTACAGGGACACCACCCTAAATTCTGGCTTATCCTCCTTCTCATTGGCTATAGCTGCAGGTTACCACTGTGAGAGGGATAAGGCGGAATTGCCATCGGATCAAGGGGATGATGTGGCAGACGCAGTGATAAAAGATGCGGAGGAGTGGAGCGACGATAGTGATGAGTGGTGGCTAGCAGGCCACTATGACGGGGAGGAAGTGGAGGTGTGGGTGGCAGGTCAGGATCAGGGCCTCAGATTCGTTTTTAGCTTGGCTGATACGTCAGCCTTAGCAGGCTATGCTGGGCTGATCAATCAGAGTTGGTTAAAAAATAAAAACTGAAATTTCAGACAAGTCACAAAAAAAAACGCTGACTAATCAGCCTCACTAAAAAACGCAGGCTGAACTGGATTGGTTCTATGTTTAGGGCACGCACATGGATGCAGGTTCGGGGTGGGTGAGATGGGGTGAGGTGGGTGTCCTTGTCGTGAGTGCGTGCGGTGCGTTGCTGTGCTGCACTGGTGGTGGGTGATTGGCGCATAAGGGATGTGACAACCAATCACATCAATTAAAGCATTCTGTCGGTGACAACGAAGCACCGACGCGTCGGGGAAATTCATTTTCCCCCGCGTCGGCGCTGTACATGGTGACTTTTGCGTGATTGACAGGTGGATGTACCTGGACAGCCGAAACTCACGGCTCTGGCACGAATCTGTAATAGCGTGAGAGTTCAGCCTACACTCTCGTTATAAATCAGCCAACACTTGTAAAAAAACGCTGGAAAATCAGCCAATACATTAAAAAAAAACCTGAACAATCAGCCAACACTTAAAAAAAACTGAATTATCAGCCAACACATCAGCCACAAGTCTGGGAAATCAGCGTCCAGACCCTAAATCAGCCTTTTTTCGCTGACTTCTGAGGCCCTGGTCAGGATGAATAAATGGGGTTGTGTTTCCATCCCCACTGTGCTAATGTGGTCTTGAACATGTCATGCTTGAATGTGTGTGGAGGACTATGCCATTCTGTCCTTAACCTAATCATGCTAAGAGCGAAATAAACTTGCACATATTATAGTTGCAATATACGGTACGTTACACGTGCGGATGAAGTTAGCCCGGTGAAACTACTCCATTGCTTCGATTCTTGAGACCCTAATCCAGCTCATGTTCCATTCTGCCTAGGGCACTAGCTTGTTTGGTATCCCAAAAAGGATATATCCATGATGATGTGTAACAGTTATCTTACTCCAAAGGTGTCAGTGCCCAGCTCTGTTTGCACTTTATTGCAAATTATTGCCGAGGTAACCACTTGGCATCCAATGTACACTACTTCAGGATGGCTTATACTTGCATTTCACAAGGACCTCGTTCACAATGCGCAGTGAAGTGAGCCACAGTACTGGAATCGACACACCAGTTAGCCTGCCAACACATGGCAGATGCATGGGTGGGATAGAAGGCGCACGACTTGAGGGCTCAAAATTTTACCGGTAGTAGCTCAGAGTAGGAGCAGACGAACCAGTGGCAGCTATAGGATCTCTGGAGGGACTTGCTGCTGCTCTTGAAGCAGAAAAGCAGGAGTGCAAGGGCTGACAGCAGCGGTGCAAGGGCTGACAGCAGGGGTGCAAGGGCTGACAGCAGGGGTGCAAGGGTGGAAATCATGGGTGCAAGGGTGGGAAGCAGGGGTGCAAGGGCGGAAAGCAGGGGTGCAAGCGTGGGAAGCAGTGCATAGGTCGAAAGCGGGACCAGACGAAACAGTGACGATTTGAATTCACATTAGCGGTGGGTACACAAGTGATTGCACACAAGTCACTGAGATTGCACACAAGTCACTGAGATTGCACACAAGTCACTGAGATTGCACACAAGTCACTGAGATTGCACACAAGTCTGCTGCGCTGCCCCCCTGTTGCGCGTGCGTCCCCCCTTTTCTTTGCGATTGTACATGGGGAGGGAGAGGATGGGGGGGGAAGCAGGGAAGGGGATGGGGGGAAGCGGGGAAGGGGATGGGGGGAAACCGGGGAAGGGGATGGGGGGAAGCAGGGAAGGTGATGGGGGGAAGCAGGGAAGGGGATGGGGGGGAAGCAGGGAAGGGGATGGGGGGAAACAGGGAAGGGGATTGGGGGAAACAGGGAAGGGGATTGGGGGAAGCAGGGAAGGGGATGGGGGGAAGCAGGGAAGGGGATGGGGGGAAGCAGGGAAGGGGATGGGGGGAAGCACGGGACGGGATGGGGGGAAGCAGGGGAGGGGATGGGGTGAAGCAGGGAAAGGGAAGGGGGGAAGCAGGGCAGGGGATGGGGGAAAGTAGGGAAGGGGATGGGGGGAAGCAGGGCAGGGGATGGGGGGAAGCAGGGAAGGGGATGGGGGGAAGCAGGGAGGGGGATGGGGGGAAGCAGGGTAGGGGATGGGGGAAAGCAGGGAAGGGGATGGAGGGAAGCAGGGAAGGGGATGGGGGAAAGCAGGGGAGGGGACGAGGGGAAGCAGGGAAGGGGATGGGGGAAAGCAAGGAAGGGGATGGAGGGAAGCAGGGAAGGGGATGGGGGAAAGCAGGGGAGGGGACGAGGGGAAGCAGGGAAGGGGATGGGGGAAAGCAAGGAAGGGGATGGAGGGAAGCAGGGAAGGGGATGGGGGAAAGCAGGGGAGGGGACGAGGGGAAGCAGGGAAGGGGACGAGGGGAAGCAGGGAAGGGGATGGGGGGAAGTAGGGAAGGGGATGGGGGGAAGCAGGGAAGGGGATGGGGGGAAGCAGGGCAGGGGATACGGGGTAAGAGGGGATAGGATGGGGGGAAGCACGGCAGGGGATACGGGGAAACAGGGAAGAGGATGGGGGGAACGGGGGCAGATGCCGGGGGGAGAGCTGGGGGGAGGATGGTGGGGAGCAGAGAGGGAATCAAAACGCTGTTCGATTGTGGTGGCGGAAGCGACCACCTCTGTTTCTCCCCATCCGTTCCTCCCCATCCGTTCCTCCCCATCTATTCCTCCCCATCTGTCCCACCCCTTCGGATGGAATGAGGGAGGAAGGATGGGCTGGAGGTGGTGAGATGGGGAGAGGGGAAGAGCGGATGGAAACACGGATGACGAGGGGAAGCGCGAGTGACTGGGAGGCAAGCCCGACGACGGGACGCGCGGGCGACGAGGGGAGGCGAGGGCGGTGAGGGTCGGCACGGGTGATGAGGGGAAGCGCGAGCGACGAGAGGGAATGTCGGTGACGAAGGGAGGTGAGGGCGGCGAGGATCGGTGTGGGTCGACGAGGGTGATGAGGGGAGCGCGGGTGACGATCTGAAGCGCGGTATGTTTACTACTGGCAATTGCGACGAGGGGATGTGTGGTTAACGTGGGAGAGCATGGGCCACTACGGGAACATATGCGACCAGAGGGTCGGGGAGGGTAATGAGGGAAAGCACGGGTGATGAGGAAAGCGGTCTGACGTGGGCAAGAGCGGCCGACGAGGAGGAACATGTGCGACTAACGGCTGAGTGCGTTACGCGAACCAGTACGGCATTCGCGTGAGCGACCCGTGCCTAAAACGGTACGATCGTGACACGAGGCTGAATGGCAGCAAGTGTGACAAGATCCTGCGTGTGCGACGCGAGCTTGAATGCAAGACTGGAGTAACGCGAATCTCGTTTTCTAACGTAAGTGCCGTGGGTGTACGGGTTGTAACACGCGACCGGTGACGTGAGGGAGAGATTAGAGCGTGCACTGACTAACATGGTTGAGGTGGACTTATATTTCCTTCCGCACCCAAAAAAAACACCTATCAACGACTCGCTTTTGCCAACTAGCGCTAGTTTTTGCCTGAGTTCAGTCCTAGCCTATGAGTACTACTTGGTAAGCAAGTTATGTGAGTGGTGAATAGTACAAATGGTTGGCGATCATCGCGTCAGTTCTGGTTTTGGGCACTCGGGTTCCGTTGTCGCAGGACGATTGTCTGGGGACGCGAGAACTTTCTCAAAACAAGTAGGGTAACCCTGTTATTGGCGACTTCAAGTTCAAGAATCTTGAACTTGAAAATTACCATGCTGTACTCGGGCTTTAAGGCCAAGAATGCTAAAGGTCAGAACTTTACGTACAACTTGGTGGGGCTCAATAATATGAAGTTCATGGTTCCGATGGCCTGGGACATTTCGACCAACACGTGCGTCATGCAGACGATTCCCCCCTAGTACCGCTACTACTATCAATACTGGATAGGCGATGCAATGATGGGTCGTTGTGAGTGACTAGTGACGGGAAGAAATGGAAAACTCGGTTCGGAAGGGAACGGTGGGAGGGGAGTACAGTTGAGTAGAGAAGCCTGTCTATGTCCTTGCACGTGTTTGCGTTCCAGCCCAAGCGGCGCGATAAGCGCCTATGGTCGTTTTGAAACGGTGTCGTGGAATATGGCTTGCATTCGTTTGTCTGTATGATTTATTTCATTATTTGTGTTTCAAAATATTGGTGTTCAGCACACATGCATCCGGCAAATGATTAGATACAGCAATTTTACTGCCTCTTTCTGTCTTCACTGGACAGTGGATATCTCAGCTTTGCCTCATTGTGACTGTTAAACTTTCAGGAAGGCCGTTTGGGCACATCAAAATGTGTACAACAAATGCTCACATCACATGGAAGAGTCAGCCCAGCTTTACCACTGCTACTGCCTTGGCGCAATCCTGCAAAAATCGACAGGTGGGGAGAAGCAAAGGCAGCAATAACACGTGAATCACTGAGCACTTGTGTGGAATCTGCAGCAGTTGAGTTTAGCGGATGACCAAAATGAGAAGGATATGATCATATGACGTTCAACCACACTCAAAAGAGAGAGGCAGACTCACGTGCATTTGACCAGACTCTTTTGAGGCGCCTCAAACGAGAAGGATATTATCATATGACGTTGAACTGCACTTGAGAAAGAGGCAGCCTCACGTGCGTTTGACTTTTGAGTTGACTCAAGAGAAGCTTGACTTGACACGACTAGCGGATGACCAAAACGAGAAGGACATGATCATATGCATTGAACTTCACTTGAGAGGAGAGGCATACTCACGTGCGTTTGACCCCTCGAAGCGTCTCCTCCAGAGCTTCAGCCGCCCCCACCACAGGATCGAACCAGCTGCCTGATGCGATGGCTTAGAGAGAGAGTGAGAGAACGTGGACTCACGAGCTTTTCATGCCTCGAAGCGTCTCCTCCAGAGCTTCAGCAGCCCCAACCACAGGAGCCATGGCTGCTGCTGGGATGCCTTTCACCACCGCCGCTGCCACTGCAGGCATTCCATCCCCTCGCCTCCACCTCCTTAATGGAGCACCTAATAACGAGGACAAGCTTCTTTCCACACTACGGTTCAGCACCTCTTGAGCTGCTGCCAAAGGCCCTACAGAAGAACCCCCACTGCCACTGCCAATACCACTGTCAAAGCCACTGCGGCTACTGCTGCCACAGCCACCGCTGCTGCTGCTGCTGCTGCTGCTGCTGCTGCCAATGCCACTGTCAGCAAACACAGTGACCCAGTGTGAGCCTTCCTCGAAGCTTCCATGCTCCCCAAGCTCCCGCCAATCACAGGGTGCCTTATCTCGGCGACAGCTGCTTGCACGGGCGGACGGTGAGGAAGCTGAGGAGGAGGAGAAAGAGAATGCACGAGAGGAGGAGGAGCAAGAGGAGGAAGAGAAAGTGCGGGGTGCAGAGGGACTGGAAGAAGAGGCAAGGGGGCTTGTGGAGGGAGGACGATTACTGGGTGTAGTGGCTGTAACACCTGCAGCTGATTTAGATGTAGCAGCTGGACCAGCTGTAGCATTTGTACCAGCGTTTGTGGCGCTGGCTGTAGCAGCGGCGGTTGTAGCACCGGCTGTAGCGGCGAGGGCGAGCTCTGCTGCGTACAGCAGGTGGTGTGTGCCGGCTGCCACTGTCACTCCCACGCCCAGCAACTCGTGGGAGAGCGACTGGAGGAAACAGATGGCACCTGGTGGTGGGGTTAGGCGCAGAAAGGAGGTGCGCAGCAGAGAACACGAAAAAGACTCTTGCTGCTTGCAACAGGTGGTGAGTGCCGGCTGCCATTGTCACTCCCACGCCCAGCAACTCGTGGGAGAGCGACTGGAGGAAGAGGGTGGCACCTGGTGACGAGGGTAGGGTGGGGGTAGGGCAGACGTTGGAAGGGGAAGGTTCAGACAACAAGTAAAGAAGGGGCATGAAGGTGGTGCGTGCCGGCTGCCTCTGTCACTCCCACGCCCAGCAGCTCGTGAGAGAGCACAGTGAATTTGTGTCATTCCGCTTACCTCTCTTCACGCCTCGCATGAGCCTCTTGTGCTGCCTGTACTCCTGAACCGGCAGCAGCACCAGCTGTAAAGAAGCAGCACCCAGCGCCCACAGGGGACAGACAGGCTCTGCTGCTTTTGGATTGAATTAGACACACTTGTGACACGAGAGCACAGTGCCTTAGTACCTATGCTCACCTCTCTTCACTCCTCGCATAAGCCTCTTGTTCTGCCTGTATTCCTGAACCGGCAGCAGCACCAGCTGAATGGAAGCTGCACCCAGCGCCCACAGGGGACTGACGGGTCCGGCTGCCTCCCCTATTGCCTTAACTCACACACCCTCGTACCATGATAACACAGCGACTCAGTGCCTTCCCAGTGCCCTTTCCCCTCACCTCTCTTCACACCTCGCATGAGCCTCTTGTTCTGCCGATACTCCTGAACCGGCAGCAGCACCAGCTGTAAAGAAGCAGCACCCAGCGCCCACAGGGGACAGACAGGGCCCGCTGCTTTCACCACCCGGTGCAGCTGGCGCCGACAGATGTCCTCCACCCATTGGCCGATGAGCGCTCCTCCTAGCCCGTCCCACCCCTGCACGCCCACCACCCTGGCTTTCGTGAAATCGATCTCAACGCCCTGCCGTGGAATGAGGAGTTTTCAAGGGAGGCACAGAGGGTAAAAGAAGGGGCACAGGGGAGGGAGGCTCAGAGCTGTGTCCTGTCTTGCATCAATTGGCTGATGAGCGCTCCTCCTAGCCCGTCCCACCCCTGTACTCCCACCACCCTGGCTTTCGTGAAATCGATTTCAACACCCTGCCATGAGGCGTTTACAAGAGAGATTAAAGGAGGAGCACATGGGAGGGAGGGAGGCAGAGGAGATTTTTAGCATTGGCTGACGAGCGCCCCTGCTAGCCCGTCCCACCCCTGCACGCCCACGACTCTCGCCTTGGTGAAATCAGTTTCAACACACGCACACTGCCATCGAACCACGTGCACATACCCCCCGAACAACCCCCCCCCCCCCCCCCCCCCCCCCCCTCCCGCCCCCTCCCCTCTTCCCTCCATTCGCACCTTCCATGAGATGAGGTTGAGGAGATGAGCGTAGTTGCCAGCAGAAAGGGCTGACAGGTCCAAGCGACGAGGCACGTAGTCGATCAAAACCGAGAAGGCTCGGATTTCACACACCTGGAAAAGAAGCAGGGGACGGGACGGGGGGCGGGAAGGGCGTAAGTCAACTTGAATATGATGGCTCTTTGAGGGTTGAGCAGGTGAGCGGTTAAGCAGGTGAGCGTGGCTGCCGGGCAGAAAGAGGTGAGAGGATGAAGTTCCAACTTGCAAGGAATGTGGTCGATCAACCTAAATTTCAAAGCACTTGTCTTAACCAAGGATCTCAGGACCTAGAAGAACGGTAGCAAGGCATCATGCAGATTCGTTAGTCAGTTAACAAGTCGACTTTAAAACTGGGATGTTGCAGTTGCAGCATCCAAAATTAGGACTTGGATAGTGCCTGACCTGGAAGAAGGGCAGCAAGGCATCTCGCAAGAGCTCCGCATCGGCCGCCACCGCCGGAGCTGCTGCTGCTGCTGCTGCTGCTGATGCTGTTTCAGAGGCACAGTTATCGGCTGCAGCAGCACCGGCTGTAGCGGCAGCAGGAGGAGGAGAGATTGGCGTGGAGAAGAAGCGCGAGAGGAATTCGATGTGGTTCTGGTCGATGCGGAGACGGATTGGCAAAAGAGCCACTGAGAGCCTGCAGCCGTAAACCAAGAGAGAAAAATAAGAGAGAGCGAAGGAAGGAAGTAGAGCAGAGAAGCATGAAAGGAAGGAAGTAAATGTGGCTTCAAAAGCAGAAAGGTCAAAAGCAGCTCCATAATGCACAGCCGAACCATCTTGCAATGAGTAGCTAAACGCTAAGAAAAGTTCAACAAAAAGGTACATCTGAAATATGGTGGTGCAGCTGGTTACGCAGCGAACTTTACGACATCAAAAACCAGGAGGCAGCCATTCGCAAGCAGCTGAGCTATTCTCTCACCCACCTGAATTCGTCAATCTCCACCGTTGGATTGGGTCTGACAGCATCCAGCAGCAGCCGCAGAGCCTTGGATCGCACATCTGCAGCCTCCCTCCCATACGCCCCTCCCACCCGCGCCCACCTCCTGCCCCCCTGCTGCTGCCCCTGCCCATTCTGCCCCTGCCCTAGCCCCTGCTGTCTCTGCTGCAAGCCCCGGTCCCACACTCCTATCTCCCGCACAGTAACTGCCACACGTGATGTGTACACACTCTCACGTTTGCCCCCATGGTGGGGGGTAGTGTGGCTGTTTCCCTGTGTACACGCTGCTGCAGTGGCAGCAACATCAGCAGCAGCACTGGCAATACCAGCAGCATTGGCATTATCATCAACACCAGCAGCAAGAGGCACTTGCAGCCTGTGTTGTTGAAACTTGTCTATCTGAAGGTCTACTCCTCGCAAAATCACCTCCAGGCACGGGCCTTCCAATCGGAGCCTTGCTGCTGACTCAGCAGCACCCTGTGCTGACTCAGCCCCACCAGATCCAGCATCAGCGGTAGCGGTGGCACCAGGTGCAGCACAAAGACCAGCACACAATCCAGTGCTAGTAGCAGCATTACTTGACAAAAAATGCCAGCCAGAGCTCAATCTGCAGACGAGCGAGCAGTTTCTGAGAAGGATCCGGGCCTCAGAGGGGGGGTAGGAGGCTGGGAGAGAGGAAGGCTTATGGCCGGGTCGAGAGGTGAAGGGAGAAGATGGGGGAGGAGAAGAGGGGGGAGGAGGAGAAGAGGGGGGGGGAGAGGAGGAAGAGGGAGAGGAGGGAGGGGGAGAGGAGGGAGAGGGGGCATGGTGCGTAGCACTAGGGAGAGAGGAGGAGGAGGACGACGAAAGAGTGTTTTGGAGAGACGATGGGGGGGCCAAGGGAACGTGGTCTGAAACCAGCTGACCAGAAATATCTTCGAGCCACGTGGCGTGATGCGATTGGTGGGCGCCACTTCTGCTGCTGCTGCTGCTGCTGCTGCTACCACCAGTCTTGGCACCCTCACCACTCGATCTGTTGCTGCTGGGGCATCCTTCGCCTTTCTGAATGTGACTATATCCCGCGTGCTTCTCCCCGCCGCTCTCCACTTCCATCCAGGTCCATCCTTCGTTATAGTCACCCTCGCTTTCGATTTCTCCTCCTGATTGCTCCGGTACTATCACATCCACCCACCCCCCTGCCTCCTCCTCAATAAGCCTCAGCCCAGCATCATTACCAATGCTCCACCCGTTATTCCCAATCGCATCCCTTGTCTCAACAGCAGTAGCAGCGGCAGCAGCAGTGGCAGCAGCAGTAGCAGCAGAAGCAGCAGCAGCATCAGCCGCAGCATCAGCACCCTTTCCCTGCCCTCCCTCCCCTCCCTCCCCTCCCTGACCTACATGCCCCCCTGCAACCCCACCTCCCCCATACACCCTACTTGTCACCCCCCTAAGGGGAACTTGGGGCACATCAGGGGTACACACCCGCTGCAGCTGCTGTCCTCCCACACCCTGCCCTCCCCCCCCCTCAACAACCCTGCCTCCCCTATACACGAGCTGCACCTGCTGCCCTCCCTGCCCTCCCTGCCCTGTCTGCCCCCCTACGTCCCCACCTCCCCCATACACCCTGCTTGTGACACCCCCAGGGGGAACAACAGGCGCATCAGGGGGGAACACGAGCTGCACCTGCTGCCCCAGCCGCCCCAACACCCGCATGCTGTCATGACACGTGTCCATCTGCAATTGGGCGTTGCAGCAGATGATCTCCAGGTCAGGTGGTGATGTGGATCGAGCTGAGGACGAGGCAGAACCTCTCCCTGCAGCAGCAGCTGTAGCAGCTGTAGCAGCCATAGGGGCTGTAGCAGCTGCAGTAACACCAGAAGCTGCAGCAGCGGCTGTAGCAGCAGCTGCGGGAGTAGGCGCAGTATCTGTTGCAACAAGCTCCACTTGCACACTCGTTGCGGTTGCGATCTGCGGTGAATAGTACGAGGAAGCATAATAGTACAATGCTGAGACTTGGAATTAACGGGCTTGGCATGGTAAGCTAGACCCAGCAGGCATGTGAAACACGACGCGAAACAAGAACTGAAACAATGATTGAAACGAGGAGCGAAAGAGCAAGCGAATGAAACAAGTAGAGATATAAAGAATAGAAACAACAAGAATGGCATCATAACGTTTGGAATGAAGTGAAGGAGTAGCATAGGTCTAAGATTGGGTGAGAAAAACATAAAAGAAAACGGGGAGGGAGAAGGAAAGAAACACGTGGGAGCAGGAACGTACTTGAGCAAAGAGGCTGCTGTGATAGGCCTGTAGCCAGAGAGCCCTGTGCACGCAGTGCTGCTGCTGCTGTCTGGCCACATAGTGCTGCTGCGGTCTGGGCCCATAGTGGTGCTGTTGCCTGGAGGGCGCACCATCCGGAGGTGACCTGGCAACGTTTTCTGCTCCCACGTTGAAGGGCAGGCAGCAGCGGCTAACAGGCAGCACGCTCACAGATATGCCGCTGAGGTGCACACCAGCTTGGACGAGCGGAGGAGTGAGAGTTGGAGGGCGCGTAAGAGGATGGGGTGGTGGTGCTGCTGCCGCTGGTGGTGCTGCCGCTGGTGGTGCTGCCAGTGGTTCTGGCGATGGTAGTGGTGCCGTGGGATTCATGTCCGCAACTAATCGTATCGCTGTGACTCCACCAAACAGGCACGCAGCAAACGGAGGAGGACTTACCCCCTGCCCTGGCACGGCCCGAGTCTCCCGGCCAGGTTCGGGCCAAGCCTCTCCCCGAGGCTCGTACCACAGACCAGCATCCATCAGATCTGCCACCACCAGCAGCTGCGGTCGGCCTATCTGCCTGTCTGCATGTGCTCGCACCATGTTTGCCCGTGTCTGTTCCTCTGCCTCTGCTCGCACTTCTCTTGGCCATGCTTGTTGCACCCCTGCTGCTGCAGCACCAGCAGCAGCAGCAGCCGAAGCAGCAGCAGACCTTTGTTCTGGCAAGAGAAGGGTGGAGAGAGGTAGCAGGTAGTCCCACCTCCCACCTGGTACCTCTGCTGTCAACCCCCTCACACACACGTACACCAACCCCTCACTCTCCCTGCCCTCACTCTCTCCCAACCCTTTATTCCCTCTTATCCTTTTGCTCCCCCCTGCCCCCTCACTCCCTCTCTCCCCCTCCCTCTCCCTTCCCCTTGCTTTCCCCTGAACTTTCTGATCCGGAGCCTCCTCGGAAGGTTCCTGGCCTGGCCACTGCACCAGCAGCAGGCACATCCCTGCCTCTCCCCTCTCCAGGGGGTTTCCCCCGGGAGCTCCGCTGCCTCGGCCAATGGCGTCCTGCCACGTGGACAGCACAGGCCACTCATGCTCTCGCCTTATCCTAGCAAAGCTGCTGTTTGTGAGCTTGTTACCTGGCGATTTTGACTCTGAGGAGGCTTGTAACGAATAAGGGGCTTGTACAGAGTCAGGAGCTTGTATCGAATCAATCAGACCTCGACCGTGCTGCTCCTCCCCATACCCCCACCAATCATTGCGCGCCGCCCAAACTGTCCCCTCCCCATGCCGCAGCATCAGGAACCTTGCCCTAGGGTTACCAGCCAGACCGCTGACGTGGCACGCTGTGATTCGCTGAAAGCACAGGCGCAGGGAGGACCAGCCTGGACCCCATACAGGCTTGGAGTAGGGAAGGACGGGATGGGGGGATGCGGCAGCAGCAGCAGGAGCGCCAGCGGCAGCGGCAGCAGAAGAAGAAGCATTGGAGACAGCAGGAGAAAAAAATGAAGAGGAAGAAAAAGTATGTACACCTGTGCCCTGCTGCTGCTGCTGCTGCTTACTCATGTCCCTACAAGACACACCTTCTGCTCCTACTGCCTGTCGCGGCTCAAACAAGAGCACAGCCTGCAAGAGACCCACTTGCAAGTCGAAGAAAACCGGTGCCTCAGGAGAGGAAACCGGGTCCTGTACTTGTGATTCTCCCCGTTTAGACACCTCCTCTCTTGTTCCTCGGGTCAAAGTAACACAGATTGACACACCAGGTGACACGCCAGGTGACACCTCCACTCTGCTTGAGGTTGCGACTTTGTCCACGGCCTTCCCGACCCACGTCAGCACGTCGTGGATCACCGCCACGTCAGCAGCGTCCACCGTCAGCGCCACGTCACCCACCCTGACCGCCACATCAGCACCTGCGCTCTCCCTCACCTCTGTAACTACCACTCTCTCCTGCTCCTCTTCCCCCTCCCTCTCTCTATCAGTCACAGCAGCTGCAGTCACAAACTCCCCGTTGCCGCCCACTGTCACCCCCCGCCCACCCTCACCTCGCCCCGCTTGTCTTTTCCTCACGTACTGCCAAAGCTTGTGAGTTGCATCGAGCCTGGATGCCTTAAAAAGGTTGCTGCTGCTTCTTTGTTTGACGATTACTGTGACCGCTGGCCCCCACTCGTGCAGATGGTGCTGCTGCTCCTGCTCGTGGTGATGGTGGGTTTGTTTATGATGGTGGTGACTATACTGGTGAGTGTGGTGATTATGGTGGTGATGGTTTTGGTTGTGGTGGTTGTGGTGATTATGCTGGTGGCGGCGTTGCTGCGGGGGTCCAAAATGGAGCTGACCTAACGCCTCTGACACCCTCTTGCTGTAACCTGCTACCCCTTGCTCCTCACTGCCCCTGGTGCTACGTCTTGAATGCTGCTGACATCCAAAATCGGATGCACTGACAGAAGAGGAAGCAGAGACCGAGAGCAGACAGTGCAACTGGAACAGGCACAGGCAATCCCTGTCTGAACCATCGCTTTCCACGCACTCGCCTCCCCTCCTGCTGCATCTGCCGTTACTCTCGGTGCTACTCTCACTGGCTGAACGGCCTTGTGGCGGAGCGATGTTCAGAAAATGCACAAACACGTGCTGCAGCGAGCAGCTGAGAAGAGAAGACGCAGTACAAGCAGATGTTGCTGCTGCCTCTGCTGCTGCTGCTGCTTCTGCTTCTGATGGTGACGGTGGTGGTGATGGCGATGGTGGTGGGGCTGACGAGAGGCAGAAGCAATGGAAGTCAGCAACAATCCAGCGACCACCATTGCTACATGCAAGAGCCTCCTGCACAGCATGTAGCTGTAGCTGACCCGGCTGTAGCCCACTTGACTGCTGCACCTGTGGTACCTGAGATGGCTGTGACTGGGGAGACGTGGCAGGGAGGACGAGGCGAAGGCAGGAGACTTGAACGGAGAGGGAGAGACTGCTGAGGCGGGGAGAGGAAGGAGCGCTGTCAGCAGAGGGAACACTGGCAGGATTGATTTTTGAAGCAGAAGGAATGGAATCTCTATTTGGGGTTCTAGAGAATGGATCAGCATTTGCTTCTCGCTTTGAATCCTGCTGCCGCAACGAGTACGCTTCTTGGTGCTGAGATAGCAGCTGCTGCTGCTGCTGTGGCCGCTGCTGCTGCCACTCGTGCTGATGGTCTCGCCGCTTTCTTTCCACCACTCCAACATCCTCTGTATTGTCATCCCCATTACAACGCACGTCGCCCAGCTCAACAATCAAGCTCGATATAAAGGAGAGGGAGTGCGGTTCCACCCACACCACACACGGCTGCACACTCACATCTACATGCATGCATTGCTTAACATTCAAACCCGAATGCCTCACACCCGGATGCAAGCACACCTGCTCGTTCACATCCTTATGTGCTTGCTCGTATGCATGATGAAGTGCACGCTCGTGCTCGCAGCTTTGAGAGGCTGTCACTCGAACAGCTGCCACCATGCTGCTGCTGCTTCTGCTGCTGCCGAGTCTAACGCTGACTGGACCACCGTTGCTGTTGTTGCCGCTGCTGCTACTGTTGCTGCTGCCTCTCCTGCTGTCCCCAGCACCGATTTTGTTGCTGCTGCTGGATACTGCTGCTTCTGCGGTCTCGTCTTTCCCCTCGTTTACCCTCACCTTTGGTGCAACATCACCTAGCGAATCGCATAGCGATCCGCTTACAGAATTGGCTAGCGAAGAGACCTGAAAGAGCTTCACAGGTCTGCAGGTAGAACACAAGTGACCGTGAGGGTGTTTCCGAGAGGGATCACAAATGTCACACACACGCCGGAGGTGGTTGCAGAGTGTGGCTGCAGAAGCGAACTGAGGGGAGGAAGTGGACGAGGAGGGGAGGTCGGGAGCTGGGAAAGAAAGCGGCAGGGCCTTTGCCACATGCTCCCACTGAGCGTGATTCCTGTACAGGTGCCACTCGCATGTGCCCACTCCCCTGCATTCCGCATGATCCCTGTACAGTTGGTGCTTACCCCTACCCACTTCTGCCCGTTCTACCTTATTCCTGTACATGCTGCAGCAGCCTATGCAGCAATGCCCCCTAGTGGTGGTGGCTGCAGTGGCAGCAGAAGCAGCACTGCCTGCTGCTGCAGCTTCTGCTGCTGGGGAGACTGATGCTGGTGGGGCTGCGACTGATGAGGCAAATGGGCGTGAGTGGACGCCAACCCAGCATGAGGGGTGGAACGAGAGGGTGATGCTGCTGATAGAGAGCTCTTTGTGGTGATGAGATTCGCCTGCGGAAACCTGGAGGGGTGAGGAGGAGGGAGGGAGATATGACAAGCAGCACAAGAAGAAGCAGAAGCAGGAGGGGAAGTAGAGCAGAAGCAGAAGCAGAAGCGGCAGCAGCATAAAAAGAATAAGCACAAGCAGAAGCATCAGCAGCAGTACAACAGGAGCTTTCATCTCACCTCCTGTGAGGCGTGGAGCCTATCCAACACAAGTACCAGTGCTCCAGCTCTCCCATTCCCAGCACCGCAAGTTCCAAAAGAAGGAGAGGCAGAAGAAGCACCAGCACCAGCAGCAGCAGCAGCAGTAGCAGAAGCTTCAGCCTCCCTTATTCCATTGGGCGAGTGTGTCAGTGAGAGAGTTATGCAGGGGATACCGAAGGAAAGAGAGAGAAGAGGCTGGGAGGGTTCTGCTCGGTTGGGAAAAGAGGGAAGCACAGAGGAATGCGGGGCGAAGAAGATTTGAAAGAATGCAGAAATGACGGTGGGAATGTAAACCCTGAAAGCACAGAGCAAGGTGACACAGAGAGAGAGAAAACAACGGGAGGCGAATGTGGGACCGAGATGGAGGAGGGTGGGAAGTGCAGGAGGCGGTGGGGGTTTGTTGACTTTTGAGTCGACTCAAAAGAGGAGGGTGGGAAGTGCAGGAGGCGGTGGGGGTTTGTTGACTTTTGAGTCGACTCAAAAGAGGAGGGTGGGAAGTGCAGGAGGCGGTGGGGGTTTGTTGACTTTTGAGTCGACTCAAAAGAGGAGGGTGGGAAGTGCAGGAGGCGGTGGGGGTTTGTGGGGGAGCAGAGAGAGCTTGCTAGTGGTGAACGCCCTGACAGAGAAGCGAAGTAAGTAAGGGTCCCCCTAGCAAGCTACTTTAGCAAGCTCTTGAGGGTCCACCTGCAAGCGCTAGGGACGCAGAGACAGAAGAAGACGCCGCAGCAACGGGCGGCATCCCAGCTGCCAGTGCAGAGGTGGCTGAGACTGCTGAGACCGCTGCATGCGCCCAGGACCAGAGGGAGGGAGGTGCGGATGAGGAGGGCGAGGAGGAGGGAGAGGCAGAGGCGGGGGGGGAGCAACGAACACACGTACCTGCCAGTGCTAGAGACACAGACTGCTGCATGCGCCCAGGACCAGAGGGAGGTGCGGATGGAGGAGAGGTGAAGGAGGGGGACTAATGACACAACATGAGCTTCTCACCTGCCAGTGCAGAGGTGGCTGAGACTGCTGAGACCGCTGCATGCGCCCAGGACCAGAGGGAGGGAGGGAGGGGTGTGGATGAGGAGGGGGAGGGACTAATGACACAGCATCAGCATCTCACCTGCTAGTGCAAGTGATGCAGAGACAGCTGAGGATGCAGCAGCAGCGGGCGGCAGTCCAGCTGCCAGTGCTGACGTGGCGGAGACTGCTGAGACTGCTGCTTGCGCCCAGGACCAGAGGGAGGGAGGTGCGGATGATGGGGAGGGGGGGGAGGAAGGTGACGAAGGGTGGGATGAAGGGGACGAAGGTTGAACAGCAACAGCAGCGGCGGCAGCAGCAGCAGCTGCTGCTGCTGCAGTGGCAGCATAAGGGGAATGAGGAGGAGGAGAGGCGGGGAGTGACGAGGCTGGTGCAGGAGGGTTGGTGGAGGAATGGAGTGAGGCGGAGAGGGATGAGGAGAGGAACATGGCCGAGTCGAGGCAGTCGAAAAACTCACTCATACTGGGCAGTGGGGGGGGGGAGGGGGGGGGGCAAGGGTAAGGGTAAGAGGAAGGAGAGGGAGTAGGAGAGGAAAATGGCCAAGTCGAGGCAGTCGAAAAACTCACTCATACTGGGCAGCGGGGAAAGGGAAACGGATGGGGGTGGAAAAGGGGAAGGAAATGAAGATGGGGATGGGGAGAAGAAGTGACAAGAGGAGGAAAGCCAAGGGGAACGGAAGAAAAGCAAGGCAGGTGCCTGCCTGGACACATGCAATCTGACAGCATGACTGCTGCTAGAAGGTACCTGGCTTTCATTGCAGCTAGAAAGAAAATATTACCTGGCATCCATATCGGCTGCTTCCTCCTCTGCTCGCTGTTTTGCTCTTCGCATCTCCTCCTTGGCCCGTCTCTTCTCCAGCAGCCGCTGCTCCAACCAATTTTCCACATAGTTATCCGCCCACACTGCTGCTGCTCCTTCAGGCACTTCACTACTACCACCCGGCCCTGATGCTGCTGCTGCTGCTGCTGTTGCTGCTGTTGCTGCTGCTGCTGCTGGTTGTGCTGCTGCTACTGGTGGTGATGCTGCTGGCAGTGGTGCTGGTATTGCTGCTGTATGCGCTGTCACCACTGCCGCGGCTGCCGCTGCAGCTGCACCAGCTGCTGCTGCCTCTCCCCCCTCACCCGCCTCGTTCCCTCCGTCCTCTCCGCCATCCTCCCCTCTTGATCTCCCCAGCACCTCAAGCACCCCTTTCACTAAAGTCACATCTGCTTGAATCACCACCGGCGACAACTCAACAGCTACAGCCACCAGAGGCTCTTCCCCCTGGCCCATTCCCCCCTTTCTCTTTCCCCAATCTCTCCCAATCTGACACACTCCCTCCCTGTTCAATTCTGGACTCTCCCTGTGCTGTCTTGAGTTCTGCATTGCACGTGGGTGCAGCCCTAGGGTCAACCTCACTCGCCCACTCACTCCTCCAAGTGTTCCCCTCCAACTCTCTCTCACACGCTCGCGCTCGCTCTCGAGTCTGCTCTTACTCTCACGCCCAATCTCGCTCTCTCTGCTGGGATCTGACCCACATGCTGACGCTGCTTCGCCCCTCTCCCTAGCACGATGTCCCCCCTTGACACAACCAACACAAAGGCCTTCTTCCTCCCCATGCTGTCCACCGTCTCTTTCTCTCAGATACACTGGCTGTACGGCTGCTGCTGCTCCTGCTGCTGCGGCTGCTGAGGCCTCACTGTGAGACACGCACTGTGACTGCTGGCTGTGAGGTTGTAAGGAAGTAAGGCTGTCGGGCTTTAAGGATGTTGAATTGTGAGGCTTTAAGGCTGCTGGTCCGCCAATCACAATCACTTCCGCTCCTCCTCCCGCCACTGCTCTGCCAAAACTGCAGGCTTGACACGTGGCACTAGGTGTGGGGGATAACCCAGCTGTAGTTGCACCCTGTGCCAGTGACACGTCAGCACGCGGTGAGTCAGATTGCGCCAACTCTGCACGTGCATCCTGAAACGAATCTAATTCCCGGAATATTCCACTTGCTGACTGAAGCATGGTGGATCTGTCTTCGATAAAAGTAGACCCCATAGCAGATTGAAACAGCGAGGAGCCCCCATCCTCATCCCTTCCTTGGTCGGTAGCATCCATGAAAACGGACTGCTGCCCAGCCAGTACACTCGCGTACATGCTAGAAGCTGCTTCGTTATAGACATCCCCGTTCATGTCCCCATCCCCACCCGTCTCCTCTCCTCCATCCTCATCCTCTTCCTCACATGCACCCCTGCCCTCCCTCCCTGCAGCCCCACACTCCCAGCACCCCACCATACCCATCCTCACCCCACTGAACCTCACCTGCTTAGGCCCCCCTCCCAGCACCATTCGCGCAACCCCTCCCTTCAACCCGTCCGCGCCACCTCCCACTCCTCCCATTTCTGCTGCGCCTCTCACTCCCTCTCCTCCTCTCCTCTTACTACCACCGCTATCGCTTCTCCTTCCATCTCCCCCCTCCTCCCCCCTCTCGCTCCCCCACTCTCCTCCCTGCCCCTGTCTCCGTTGCTGGTCCTCACCACAGACAACCCCTTCTAACCCTACCGAACCGAACTCTACCTCTTCCAAGTCTCCCGGACCATAAGACAGCTCGTCCAGGCGGAAAACAACCCCCTTCGCATCCCTCCAGGCGCCTGCACCAGTCCTATCCCCGTTACAGTCACCTCCGTTACAAGCCTCTGCATTAGCCGGGTCGAACCCGGACGTTCCGTCGTCAAGCACGATGCGAACCTGTACACGTGTTACGGAGACTTGTAACCGCTGTAACACCTTCTCTACCAACCCTGCTACAAGCTGCACACCCCCTTGAAATCCGGGAAAGCTCGCCCAAACCCCACCCCCACTACCTAATCCCTCCAAACCCTCCGCTCTTTCCTCCTCCTCCTCTTCCTCCTCCTCTTCTTCCCAATCTCCCTCATCTTGTTCGTCTTCCTCCTCCTCTCCCTCTTCTTCTTCCTCTGCGTTCTCACTCCTATTGTCAATCCCTCCTCTCTCACCTCCACTATTGCTTCGCCTGGCTGCATACCCCCCCAAACCTACCTCCCTCGACCCTCGTCCCAGCTTCCCCCCTTCCCTAACATCCCTCGCCCCTGATTGGCCAGGCGGCGACACCACAGCTACTAGGGATATCCCATCTAGGTTGACTGTACACGGCTGGTCCAATGAGGAGAGTGTGACTATAGGGAGCGACGCGGAGAGATTTTCCACGTGGCCTGAAACGAAGCGGATGGTTGGACGGGCCTGCTTGGGCTTGTTCTGGAATCTTCCAGGGACGCCTCTTTTCCCAGCTGCTGCTGCAGCCGCCGCCGCTGCAGTTGACGATGCTCCCTTAGCTGCGTCCTCGTTTCCGTTGTTCTCAAGCTTTCAAACATATAAAATGCATGCAGGGGAGTGGGAATGGGTGGAGCGAAAAGAGAGGAGGAGGACGCCAGAGAGATAGACTGACACCTACTTTTGAATCCATTACACAAAATAAACGCACCAGGGATTTGAGATAGTCTGTGTTCAGGTGGAGACCAGAGAGGTGGATGATAGACGCTGTCACGCCAACTTTGAGTTGACTCAACAACAGAAGCACCAGGGAGTTCAGACCTTTTCAAACGGCGCAAGAGACGCACCAGGGAGTTGAGATAGTCCGTGTTCAGGCGGAGATCAGAAAGGTGAATAGACGCCGACCCCAGATGAACCTCGATCTGCTCGTGGCTCAGATCGGTCTCCAGGAACCGACACAGCAGGCGACCCAGGATGAACCGAGCCAGCCGGCGAGTAGCCCAACGAGGCAGCATGGTGCTAACACTCCAAGAATAAGAAGCTGGTCTGTCTAAGGGATGGGTTATCTAGACTGTATGGCAGCCAAAAAATAGTGAAAAGTTCGAGACGTTTTAAGCGCGAGTAGGCAACTACGCAGCGTAGCGGTGAAACTCTAGAAAATGGTCCTGACTCAGGAATGGAAACTTGGCTCCTGAGCAGTCGAAAAAATGCAAGGAGTTTCCTAAGAATGAGCAGAAAACCTGAAGATTCTGTACAAGCGGCAACTTCACGGCAGTACTTACACCTTCACCCTGTGAGTTATTTTGCAGTCTCTAGAACCTTTACCATGGATAGAAATCATCCTAACTAAAGGCGCAATCAGTTCCTCCTTTCGTAACTACCGTAACCACACGAGTTAGTGGAGTAAAAGGGATAAAGCCTGGTTGTGAGGAAATGAAAGAGCTGAGGAGAGCTGTGGCCGAATTTGTTAGGGGCTGTGGTTTCTGTCTGTTGCTCTTGAAGAGGTTCGCGTCTCATATTTACAAGTGAGCTTTAACATACGTTTCATGGAGGTTTAGTGCGGTTATCTGACTTCCAAAGTGTTTCATTAAACATGTCGAAACGTAAGCAGGCAACTGGTTGAGTAGGCAATCTGGTAGTGGAAGGTACCTCATTGGCTTTTAGGGGGTATCCAGCTCGTACATTTACTGTTCGTAAAGCCCTACAGTTACCACATTTTGCGTTGTAACACTGCCATTTACAAAAATTCCGGACGCGTGTGGCTCCCGTTCATGTTACGGCACACCCCCTGCACGTACCTCGAATCGTGTGACGCACGTAGCTGGAATCAGCGCGCGCATCGAACCTAGGTACAGCACCGCGTCCTGCCCTCTACAGTGCGTGCCCTTCGGATCGCCCTCACGATTTCGCCAGTCCCGCCTGACGCTCGCCAAAACCACCTGCGCTCTGGCCTTCGACATTGCATGACATCTCAAATTTAGAAGCGCACCATAAATCCAGATTCGCCAACACAGCAAAAAACCAACTCGTCAAGCATGTTGCCCACATTCAGCGCAAATCTTGCAATCGCCATGTACGGGCGTTCTAACTCCCCGAATTTTGCTTGTTTGATTGGTGCGTATGGGAGGGCTGGAATGCCCTCCAGGTGTTTTTTGTGTGTGCGGTTCGTTCAGCAGAGGGGGTGTTGACTGGGCGAAATTTGGTTGACGAGGGAACAGGTTACCTCGGTTTCCACCCAGCAGTGACACTGTTGAACTCTTTGTGGGGGGAATGTGTCCGCGCGCTAGAATTGACAGAAAGGGTGGACTCGAAACAGGGCGCATTTGTTTTTAGGTACACTGATCAGTTTTGAACCACGGATCGTGAGGGGGTACTAAATTTCCCGAAATGAACGAGCTGGATACCCCCTTATCCGAGACTCCGAGGCTATCACTGGCTGTTGTTGTTCTTGAGGTGTTCTCGAGGGGTGATGCAACTTCTTTGAAGAAGAGTTGAAACGCCTCGCCCTCGCAAGCGCCGAACGTACGAGACGGGTGTGACATTTTCGCTGGGCACGTCATTGATGGACACGTCACACCGTGTCATCGAATTTTGAACCCCACACAGTCTGATCTGATAGTGTCATAATTTCTGAACAAATACTTTTTATATCGAGCACACGAGTTTCGCTGATTCGTTCGCTCACTTCTGGGCGTACACAAGTTTCGCTGTTTTGAAGGGGAAGCAGAAGAAGTTGTGGTTCTGACGAACGTCGCCAGGGGCACATTCGTTTTCGAAGACCCTGGTTACCATTTTATATTCTCATCACTGATCCCGTTGGCGGGAAACAAGTGTTAATGGATTCTTCTACCTTCCTTTTCAGGCCTTGTAGTGTCCAGCAGCAAGCCTGAGCGGTCGAGCATTAGTTCGAGCTTTAGTTAGTTCATGCTCCTCGCCTTGACACCGATCCTGTTGCCGCTAAACAAACTTTTTATGGAATCTTCTAACCCAGCCTAGTAGTGTCCAGCATTAGCTTGAGCAGTAACCAAAGAAAAACTTAGCATTTATGCGTTGAACCTGTCTGCTGAGAGGACCTATTGCTGTATGCGAAGCTCGCCTGTGCTAGAGTTAGATCGCGTATCTCGCAGCTTTCCCAACTCAGCTCGCGTGTGACCTGACCACTGAAGCACGGCTGTCCTTGCCTGGTGTCTCATAAAACATATTTCAGGCGTCGTGGAAAACAAGGGGACATCTGATGCTACTGATCACTACTGACCACTCTGGTCTGATGGATCCTTGACTGATTCCGAATCATTCCTCTCTAGACACCCTGATCCGCCTGCCAAAGGCCAGCTAGCGCCATGGATTCGACACTGTTGCTGCTGTTCGCTTACGTGGCATTGCTGGGTTTCGTGCTATTCGTCCTGCTGTTTGGGGAATCGGCTTCGTTCGATGGCACCGTTATAAGCTCCGCGCACTATTGGATCACGTCAGGAGTTTTCGAGGTTCCATTGTGCGTAACCTTCTCTGGCGGATAACCGCACTCCAAATTCATCATTTTCCGGTTACAAATAGTCATGTATAATATTGTCAACGCAGCACAACTGCACAACATCCCCTTTACCTCGTGTCAACTCTAGCTGTCATCCTTCATATTGCAAACTGTACCGACACCTGATGCCATCTCTCCGTACAGTTACCTTCTCGGTTTCTTCTTTGGCGAGAGAGGTGAACGAGCTGGTGACGTCATCTTCCACTTCTGCTGCGAGCAGCGAAACCCACTTTTCCAGGTTTGTTAATTTCCATCGGCGACCCCCCAGTTTTTTTCTGGCGAATTTGCTAACTATCAGCTGGGGATTTTCTGGAGATATTGTCCAAGTTTGTGTATCCCACCCTCTCGCTTCCATCGCGTATCCTCCCCATCCCCCATTGCAGATTATCTACCTTGTGTTGGTGATCGGAGGCTACTACGCCTTTCACGTCTACTGCATGAGCTTCATCCCCGGACCCTACCTCTCCGCTATCCATAGGTTCTCCCTTCCTCCGCCACGCTCTTCTCTCCCTGCCCATGACCGTCGCAATCCGTGTGCTGCTTTTCTTCTCCGTACCCTCTTTGGTTACTACGCCTTTCACGTCTACTGCATGAGCTTCATCCTCGGACCTTACCTCTCCGCTATCCACAGGTCCTCGCCTCTTCCCATCCATGTCCCTTGTGCTTTTACAGACCTTGTTCCTTCTCCTCTATGCTCTTCACTACCATCCATATATCTCTCCCGTCTCTCCCGTCTCTCCCGTCTCTCCCGTCTCTCCCGTCTCTCCAGTCTCTCCCGTCTCTCCCGTCTCTCCCGTCTCTCCCGTCTCTCCCGTCTCTCCCGTCTCTCCCGTCTCTCCCGTCTCTCTTGTCCCTTCTCAGATACACGGCACCAGCATCCCTCATTGCGACCCTCACAACGTTCCTGATAGCGAGTATATCTGACCCCGGTACAGTCACATCCGCTACAGTGCAGCAGACCCAGGCAGTGTACCCATACGATGGAGTCATCTACACCAGACGAGTCTGCTCCTCCTGCAAGATACCCAGGTATGGTACCGTTTGCTTCTGGGTTTCTTTTCCCCTTTGTGTCCCGTTTCTGCTCTTCAGCCTCTTCGCCGCTCCTTCAACTTTCACCTCTCTCCCTCACCTCGTCCCTTCCCCTCCTCCCTCGTCTGGCTCCTGGAGGTCAGCACCAGCCAAGCCTCTCTCGTCCTCCTTTTTTCCCGTCTTCCACTCCCAGCCCAGCAGCACGAGCCAAGCTTCACTTTTCCTCCCTCTTTCCTCCTCTTCCGCTCTCAGGCCAGCACGAGCCAAGCTTCACTTTTCCTCCCTCTTTCCTCCTCTTCCGCTCTCAGGCCAGCACGAGCCAAGCTTCACTTTTCCTCCCTCTTTCCTCCTCTTCCGCTCTCAGGCCAGCACGAGCCAAGCTTCACTTTTCCTCCCTCTTTCCTCCTCTTCCGCTCTCAGGCCAGCACGAGCCAAGTTTCACTTTTCCTCCCTCTTTCCTCCTCTTCCGCTCTCAGGCCAGCACGAGCCAAGCTTCACTTTTCCTCCCTCTTTCCTCCTCTTCCGCTCTCAGGCCAGCACGAGCCAAGCTTCACTTTTCTCCCTCTTTCCTCCTCTTCCGCTCTCAGGCCAGCACGAGCCAAGCTTCACTTTTCCTCCCTCTTTCCTCCTCTTCCGCTCTCAGGCCAGCACGAGCCAAGCTTCACTTTTCCTCCCTCTTTCCTCCTCTTCTGCTCTCAGGCCAGCACGAGCCAAGCTTCACTTTTCCTCCCTCTTTCCTCCTCTTCCGCTCTCAGGCCAGCACGAGCCAAGCTTCACTTTTCCTCCCTCTTTCCTCCTCTTCCGCTCTCAGGCCAGCACGAGCCAAGCTTCACTTTTCCTCCCTCTTTCCTCCTCTTCTGCTCTCAGGCCAGCACGAGCCAAGCTTCACTTTTCCTCCCTCTTTCCTCCTCTTCCGCTCTCAGGCCAGCACGAGCCAAGCTTCACTTTTCCTCCCTCTTTCCTCCTCTTCCGCTCTCAGGCCAGCACGAGCCAAGCTTCACTTTTCCTCCCTCTTTCCTCCTCTTCCGTTCTCAGGCCAGCACGAGCCAAGCACTGCAGGGTGTGCAACCGTTGCATCTCCAGATTCGACCACCACTGCGGATGGGTGGTGAGTGGTGTTGCTGGGTGGTGAGTGGTGTTGTTGGATGGTGAGTGGTGCCACTGGATTTTAACAAAATATCACCCAACTGTATTTCAATGATCTCTCCTCCTAGCTGTGTCTGCCTTTTAGCCGCCCCTGCTGAGCCTCTCAATCGCCCCTCATTGCCATGTCCACCCCTGTTACGATTTTCGCTCCTTCTTTCCCCCACGCTAACCCCCCCTCTCTCAGAACAACTGTGTTGGGGAGAACAACCTTCGTTACTTCCTGCTCTTCCTCTTTGCGTGAGTGTGGGGAGGGATCTGGAGATTGATGGGGTGAGGGGCGGGGGAGGGGATGCGGGAAGGATGTGGGGAGGATGTGGGGAGGGATGGGGGGGGGGATGGCGTGAGACGCACATGCACACATGTATGCGCAGACTTCACACACACACGAGCACGCACGCATGCACGCACGCACGCGCGTGCGCGCACATACACACACACCATTCCCTGTCGTCCTCACTGCCTGCCATCATAATGATAGACATGGGTCAATAGACATGGGTCAATAGACATGGGTCAATTTTCTTCAGAAGCAAATGGCATAACGCGTGCGGCATGTTTGGTGTTTTTTCCTCCCTGGTTGACTCGGTGTGCCCTTGACCTAACCACCAACGCCGTCTGTTTCCGCCCTTCAGAAACGTATTCTTTGTGACGAATGGTGTGTTTGGCTGCGTCTGTTTTATCCTGACTGCATTGACATGCCCCGAAGCCAATCACCCACACGCTCAACTCCTTCCCTTACCCCACCTCCACTCCCACTCCCTTCCTTCAGAAACATCTGCTTTTTGGCGTATGGTGTGTTTGGAGTCTGTTCTATCCTGGCTGGCGAAATCACCCGCAGCAAAGTCATCACTGCCATCATAGGTGTGTGTCAGGTCACGCCTCGTTGTCATAACTGCCATGCCATCATAGGTGTGTGTCAGGCCATGCCTCGTTGTCATAACTGCCATACCATCATAGGTGTGTCTGTCAGGCCATGCCTCGTTGTCATAACTGCCATGCCATCGTAGGCGTGTCAGTCAGGTCATGCCCTGTTATCATACCTCCTGTGTTGGTTGTCGTTTCTTGAAGAGTCTCATCTCAGGGCAACAAGCGCTTATCTTCATAGCTCTACGAATCCATGCCCTCTCCTCACCTCACTCTTAAGCAGTAATACAAGAATCAGTCACCTTGTGTCTCACAAGGGGTCCTTTGCATTGGTATGATCAAGTGCTTACCTCCTCTTATCCCCTCCCTCCTCCCTCCCGCCTCCCCCGATTGTTTCTCTACTGCAGACCATGATCCGTCCAGGACTCGCGTTTTCGGCTGGCTTCCTATCCTCGTTCAGGTCAGTTGAGAGAGCCGTTTCAGAGAGGGGTTTAGCTGAGCAGAGTATTTTCACCCACTGTGTTTTTTCTTCCGCCTTCTCCTGCTCCTTTCATCCTCCCCCTCCCTGCCCCCCTCCATCTGTGTTCCCCTCTTTTCTCCTCCTCCTCCCATCCCTGGTGGCTCACCGGCTACTTCCACCGTGTAATGGCACACAGTGTATTTACATCACCAATGCACTCTGCTCCTCTTTTTCTCAGCTTGTATAACTTCCTCCCCTCTCTTCTCCTCCCCTCTCTTCTCCTCCCCTCGTTTCCAGTGGCTCACAGTCTACTTCCACCGCCAGTGCGCGCTGCTCCTCTTCTTCCCAAATGTCTGACCTTACTCGTGCTCTTCTCACTCTCCTCCCCCCCTCCTCCACGCCCTATCTCTCCTTCTCCTCCACTTCGATTGCAGTGGCTCACAGTCTATTTCCACCGCCAGTGCGCGCTGCTCCTCTTCTTCCTCGTCATCCTCGTGGTGCTCTCCTGCTTCCTCCTCTACCACCTCCACCTAGTTGCTACCAACGTCACCACCAACGAGGTTCGTAGGTACACATTGTGTACCAACACCCCTCCCCTTTCTCTTTTCCTCCACACAGACATGAACGTCATTATTGTCATTCTCGTCGTTCTCTCCTGCTTCCTCCTCTACCACCTCCACCTCGTCACCACCAACGTCACCACCAATGAGGTACGTACCTCCCTTCTCGTACGTATCTAATTGAAAATAATTAAACCCATTTTCCCCTGTCAATGAGGTAATAACCCCGCTTCTCCCTCCCCCCACTCCCACATGTAAATCATTATCGTCGTTCTTGTTCCTCTCCTCTCCTGTTTCCACCACGCCCTCACAAATGCACATATGCAATCCAGTGCAATGGCTTCCTCTCTGTCAGTTAGTCAAGCACCTCCCCCCCCCCCCCCTCCTCCCCCCGTCTCTCCTTTTCACCTATTTTCGTCCCTTCGCTACCTTCACCTCTTTCCACCGCTTCTCACCACTCCAGACGTACAAGTGGGCTGACTATCGGCGGTGGGTGTCCCATGAAGCTTCCAGGATGCTGCAGCAGAATCAACGGGACGAGGAGGAAGTAAGGAGGAGAGCGGGAGCAGAGAGCGGTGAGGTGGAGAAGAAGGGGGAAGGCTCAACACACAAAATGAGGGTAATGGAACATGAGGAAGAGAGGATGGAAGGGGTGGTAAGGAGGAAGACTGAGGGGGAGAAGAGGGAGAAGAGGGAAGAGGGGGAGAAGGAAGGGGGAAAGGAGATGGTAGTGAGGGAAGCTGAGGGGGGTGAGACAGAGAGGGAAACGAAGGCGAGAAAAACTGGCGTGAAGGCAAGAAATGATGGAGAAGCAGGAACGGCCGAAGCAGCAGCGGTCTCAGCAGCTACAACAACCGCAGCAACACCACCACTACCAACAGAAGCAGCACCAGCAGCAGCAGTGCCGCGTGTGTCGGACAAAGGCGAGAAGCCGGCGAAACGAGGAAGGCGAGGAACGGGAGCCAAAACGAAGCAGCAGGCAATCGGAATTGACTTTTCGAGGTTGCGAGTGCGGCAGTACGGTGCCGGGTGGTTCTCTGGCTTGTGGTCCATGTTTTTTGGCAGGGCAGGAGGAGGAGGCGAGCGTGTTCACAGAATTTGGGTCGATCCTGCTAGCGTTCCCGTAGAGAATTTGTATAATAGAGGGATGGTTAATAACATAATGGAAGTGTTAGCTCCTGGGAGGGTTTATGGTGTGCGGCGGAAAAGGTTAGACGTGAGAGGTAGTGGTGAAAGCGGGGATGAGAGAGGGGTAGATAGACGAGGCGGTCAAACTCTAAGAAGCAGGAAAAAACAAGAGTGACATGTTCGAATGATGGAGTTTTTGTGAAATAGAATCTTCATGCAACGGTTGAGCCTCCTTACGGTACTACCGTACATTGTCATATCGTATTACGGTATGAGTGTGCAAGCGTACGTGAGAAGAATGTCCTACACAGGTGTTTTGTTGTGCCCAAATAGCATTCCTGAAGTCGAACTGTGACAACAATGACGCGAAGCAGGTACCGTATGGAGTGGAAGAAAAGCAGCATCTGCCAATCATAGACCCTTTTGCCAATTAATTACAATAAAATGTTCTGGAAAAACATTGTTACAAGAGAGAAACCTGATTAGGGTTTGCTGGATGCATGTTTGATGAACACCAGTAGCTTGAAACACAAATCAATATTTGAATCATAAAAACAAACAAATGCAAACCATATTCCTAACCGCTGTTTCAGAACGGCGGTTATCGCGCCGGTTGGGCTGCAACGCATACGCGTGCAAGTGGTACACGCACGGGGTTCTCCACTGTACTTCCCTTCCCTCCCACCATACCCTTCTGAACCCAGTTCTCCATTTCTTCCCGTCACCTTCACAACAGCTTCACAAATCACTCACAATCCATCATTGCATCGCCTATCCAGTATTAGTAGTAGAAGCGGTATTAGGAAATCGTCTGCATGACGCACGAGTTGGTCGAAATGTCCCAGGTCTTCGATACCATGAACTTCGTATTGTTGAGCCCCACGAGGTTGTACGTAAAATTCTGACCTTTAGCATTCCTGGCCGTTAAAAGTGGTCCGTAAGAATCATCAGGTAGTAGGCACTTATTGACGCTTTCGTTTCCGTCAGCGTCGAACCAGCCGTAGTAAATATCGGGATTCGTCGTAGCTCCCACGATAACGTTACCCATCAAGGCGATCATTGAATCGATCCCGGGGTTCCCGTTGGGCGTCGGGTCTCCCTTAGGATACGTCATGCAAGTTTGGCATTTATCGGGCTGACCCAGGAGTGCAAACACGACGGGGTCGAAAGAGTTCGGCTTGAGATCTCCCACCGCGTGGAATCCGCAGTTATTTACGCAAAAGCCATCGATTTTCACGTTCTTGCCTGTGATTATCAGGTAGATACCAAAGGGGTCGTAGGGAAACGGCTTCTTGGGGCCGATCTTGCTCCGAACAACTGTGCCACAGTAACAAAAAAAAAAAAAAAACCGCACGTGGTGTGACAACTCTTCGATTCAGTGATGAGGGGCGAGAGGCTAGTAAAAAGGCAAGCATATCGTTCCAGGAGGAGGCAAGCGGTTTGACGTGATGCGGATACATGCACTAGCTAAAGGAGGACTCTTCTGCTGAAGAGGCACACACACCTTTCAAGGCAGTGCTGAAGATCCCAGCGGAATGAGGTCGACGGAATCGAGTTGCCAGGGTCGACGAGGGGGGTCGACGGACAGGGGTCTGACGAGGCGGGCGAGTGACGCGCGTGCGGGCCCGCCAGCCTGGCCCTGGGCTGGGCCGGGCGCACGACCGCCGCCCCGCAACCCCCCCCCCCGAGAGTGAACAGCGACCCACGTTACCGGGTGGGGGCGGCGAGCTGGCGAGACCTCGGGCGAGGGGAAGTAACCCTGCCGCGAAGGCAGCCCACCCCTCCCTCGTGCCCGCGAGGCCCTAGTAACCCATCGCGGCCTGCCCGTACGGGCAGGCGAGGTCCACGCGAAAATCGGGGGCTCCCCTCGGGTCGCTCGACTATTTCGCGACCCGTTGCGGTGACGCCACGTGCTCGCCCGTCATTTCGCATCGCGTGCATGAGACATTTCGTACCCCCCGAAACTCGAGCGAAAACCTGGGTCGTTCGCCACGGGGCGCACGGCTTTCGCGACCCTCTGCGAAATCGACACGTGGTGCCGAAACGTCGCACCGCGCCCACGCGAAGTTGCGTCCCCTGGCCGACCGAGGCCGGGGCACGTGACGTCGACCTGTTGGCTCGGCGGCGAGGGTGCACTTGTGCCACGCAACTTGTGCACGAGCCCTGCCGAGCCAGGCATCACGGCCCCCTGGGCGACGCTCAACCGGGCCTGCGTGGCTCCGCCTGGCTTTTCTTCGTTGGAGGTGGACTGGCCCCTCATTTTCGCGTTCTCGTTTCTCTTTCATTTTTCCTCCCACCTCGGCGCCTTCCATACTCCCACCGCTTCTTCCCTTAGCCTGTAGCATAGCATCCTCGCTCTCCCGCCATGGCAGCCGGCCAGAAAGCCGCCGAAGCGGCGCCGACCTCGCTAGATTTCCCCCTGCATCTAGACATCGGTAGAGGACACACGGCCAAGCTCGAAGAGCACGACTACGCCGTTCTGACAAACCCTATGCTAGAGTTTAACGCCCGTTGCTTGGGACTCGGTCTCAAGTGAGTGTCTTATTGAGATGTCGTCGTCGACGGGCCTATTCCATGCTGGTCGGCCATGGCAGGGTTTCAATGCGTCCAGTAGTATATGTCGACGGGCTTAGAGTTCAGGCACATCACATCGGTGATGCCGACGTAATGCGTTAGGTCGTCGACGACGCTGAGTTGTGCCGAAGTCGTTCGGCTCCCGTCATTCCACCGTCGTGCCGCGCACCTATACCTCTCTAATCTGTTGTAATCATGCATGCGTGCAGGCACGCATGGATCCGCTCAACGGATGCAGGCGAGCGATTGTGGTCGATAGGAGTCGGCCGGCTTCGGGCGGCGATGGGTCAGGACGACCACACATGCTTTGCGACGATTTTCGACGCCGACGTGGCGGTTATCCCACTGATATCGAGGTGAGCAGGTTCGAGGTCCTGCTGTGTGCTGCAACCTGTGTCGGTGATTTGTTCTGAGCGCCATCGACGTGCCTTGTCTGTGCAGCATCGCACCGCTTCCGGGAGCACATTGCAGCGTCGTTCTCATCCTGTGCCCCGGCGATTTGTTCAATGCCTCGGGGCAGGGGTCAGGACCTCGATCCGGCACGCCGACCCGCAGACAGTGAAGGAGTGGCACCGCGACGAGGCGATCCGCGTGCTGAAGTGAGCTCGATAGTTTAGTCGACATCGCATACATTGTCGACACGACGCGTGCACCGTGCTAACCGACCGTCCTTGCCGTGCTTTTGCAGGTTTTTCCGGACCGCTGTTCTGGCCGAGCTGCGGCGCGAGGGTAGGAAATGGGAGTGGGCGAAGCCGTCCGAAGACGAGGTGCAGGAGAGGCTCGCCGACTGCGACGAACCCCTTCGAGATGTGAGTTACGGACGATTCGCCGTCATATGGTGTCACATCTACGCCGCCCTCATCCTTGCTCTCTGCACTGTTGTATGCAGAAAATTCCCGATACCGTCCGGGACTCGGACGCGGGCTCCGGCCTGCTAGCAATGAGCGCGTTGATCTGGGTTGTGAGGCGGTTCCAGCGCCTGACCGGCGACCTCCGTCGCATTGCCACCAGCATGGACAAGCCCACCGTCTCGGGGTTGAAGGCGCTGCGGAACGAGATGGTAGCCCTCATCAAGAAGCAAGTCCCGCTCATACGGTCGGGGAAAACCGTTGTTGCTGCCGACGCCTGTGACGACGACGGCGAGGAAGTCCATTCTGCATCCGTGCCAGTAGGGGTCGCCCCGAACGTCGCTGATGCGCGTGGCAAGTCGGGAGTCGGCGTCGACGAGGCCGATGCGGCCGCAGGAAAGGGGGTGACCGGGACCGAGGTTGCTCACGGGGATGATGATGGGGCCCAGGATCGCGAGGAGGAACGTGAGGGTGAGGGGGGCTCGGAGGAGTCGTCGGGGTCGATGTCGGGGTCGAGGTCGGGGTCGGGATCAGGCTCGGAGTCGGAGTCGGAGGAGGAGCAGGAGCAGGAGACGCAGGAGCACGAGAGGCAGCACCAGGAGGAGCAGTTGGTAGAGGTGGAGGACGTGGAAATGGCGGAGGGGTACGTTGTCGGAGGAGCGGAGGGGTACGTTGTCGGAGGAGCGGAGGAAACGGGTGGGAGATCGGCGGATGTCGAGAACGACGAAGGGGAGGGGAAGGGTGCGACAGCGAATATCGGCGAGGTCGGCGTGGAGGCGGCTCACGGAGGTGGTGGCATGGTCGAGGTCGGTGAAGGGGATAACGCCGCGGTCCCGGAGCAGGGGGGCGTGGATGTGCATACCGATGCCACCGCGGAGAAGGCCGGCGGGGAGCGGTCTAGGAGGAAGAAGGCGGCGAGCGGTCATCCCGGTTCCACCGCGGCTGGGCGGCAGGCGCGGCTGGACGTCGTCGATCAGCTGAGGGCGGAGAACAGGCGATTGCGTGCAGACAATGCACTCCTTGAACGGCGGCTCGGTGAGCAGACGGGGCGGGTCGACAGCTTGGCGGCGGCATTAGCTGGGCTCCTCGAGAAGTTGAAGGGTTTGACCGCCCAGGTCGCCGACACCGACCGGAAATCGGAGGAGCGCCTCAAAGAGGCCACGTCGACCATGGCGACCACAATCACCGAGGGCCTCACCGACAACATGGACAGCGCCATTCAATCGGCCAAGTCCTTCGCCGAGCTAGCGAGGCAGACGCTGCTGGATCTTGACGACCCCAAGGGACGAGCGGCGGTCGCACGCGCGACCGCGGTGAAGACAGTGACCGAGCACGTGACGGCGGAGGTGGGCGAGGCGAGGAAGGGGTTGGAGGAGTCGTTCATCAAATACATCGGCGCCGCGCAGACCAACATTGCCGCCGCCGTCGCGCCCCGCCTAGTCCAGCCGCCGCCGCCTACCGGCCCAGCGCAGGCCTTGCCGGAAGATTTCCTGAAGTCTTTCAAGGAGGACGTGCTGAAGGCGGTGACGGAGACCACGCAGCAGTCCTTCCTCGCCTCCGGACTGAAGATTATGGCC